ACTTCCAAGAACGTGTTCACTTGCTCATTTGTTGGAAATGGATTATATGGGACCCATCTCACACATTTTAACACCGTTCGATCTTCATCAACCTGATTCGGACAACATGAACGAGTCTGGTTGGTTCGGAGATTTACAGTTTAACCAAGACGAGATCTTGAACCATCATCGTCAGGCTAGTATGTTTCAGTTTTAGTGAACCGGGCAAAAAAAAAAAAGACGTCCTTGTAAAGTTACTTTGGTTCATATTTTCGTTAGTTTGGGGTACAAGAAAAATTGTAAAATATAATTTTTAATATCCAAACGGGATTTTATATTTCTCCCATATGAATGTGAAATGAAAAAAAACATGTTTAATTAAAATATTTTCGTTAGTTTTGGGTACAAGAAAAATTGTAAAATATTAACTTTTAATACCCAAATGGGAATTTATATTTCTCCCATATGAATGTGAAATGAAAAACATGTTTTATTAAAAAGCTAAGCTGTTTCAGCATGATAAACGGAGTCACAGAGTTGATTTACATTACACTAAACTAATAAACAATATACTAACTGATAAACAAAAGACTTTTTTTTTGTAACATACGATGCTTTTAAAAGATACTATTAAAGAGAGATTGAGATTACGTTACCTTAGTACGAAAAAGTCTATTGCGTGTGGAGGAAACCTACGTCAGATACAATGTATCTTGGTACTTATCTTTGTCGTTTTATTAGATAACGAATGTTACTTGTCATCATCGTACCTTTATAAGTTTAATTCGATTCGGTCTGCGCAGACTCAAACATAATACGTGGGGCCCTTTTGAGCTGATTCTCAATTTTGACCGGTTTTGTTGTACCGAAAAGACGATTTTGCGGTTTACAAAAACCAAGGGATAAGACTAACTTTTTAGCAAGAACACACCAAAGATGTGAAACATTTGTTGCAAAGAAGTCATACAAAAACTGTTTAGCTAAGTAGTAGATTGCTCACATGCTTTGGCTGATTCAAAGATATAAAAACTCCAATGAATCTTGTTTTCTTTGTTCATATTCAAAAAGACAAGCAAAAAATGTCGATGTTAATGGTTATAGCTTGTATGTTGATATCATGGATCTTCTTGCACCGATGGGGACAAAGGAATACGAGAGGTCCAAAGACTTGGCCTTTGGTTGGAGCAGCGATCGAACAGTTAACCAATTTCGACCGAATGCACGATTGGATCGTCGAGTACCTTTACGACTCAAGAACCGTAGTGGTTCCAATGCCTTTCACAACTTATACATACATAGCAGATCCCATCAATGTGGAACATGTCCTCAAAACCAATTTCTCTAATTACCCAAAGGTGGTAAAACAAACAAAACTCTTTATATCAAAATATTATTTATGCATATGTGTTGTGACTTTTATTTATGTTTTTTTCTTTTGTGTTAATAAGGGAGAGACGTACCATTCGTATATGGAAGTTTTGCTAGGAGATGGGATTTTTAATTCAGATGGTGAGCTTTGGAGAAAACAGAGGAAAACTGCGAGTTTCGAATTTGCTTCAAAGAATCTAAGAGATTTTAGTACTGTAGTGTTTAAAGAGTATAGTCTCAAGCTCTTCACCATCCTCTCTCAAGCTTCTTTAAGAGACCAACAAGTAGATATGCAGGTAAACAATCCATCAATCAAATATGTAAACTTAGCTAACAGAACAATGTCGCATTTTCTCTTTTCTTATAAATATTTTGCCTATAGGAATTGTTGATGAGAATGACTTTGGACTCTATATGTAAAGTGGGATTTGGTGTAGAGATAGGGACATTGGCTCCAGATTTACCAGAGAATCGTTTTGCTAAGGCTTTCGATATGGCAAATATAATCGTGACACTTCGTTTCATCGATCCACTTTGGAAGTTGAAAAAGTTCCTTAACATAGGATCTGAGGCATTACTTGGTAAGAGCATAAAAGTCGTCGATGATTTCACATATTCAGTCATAAGAAGAAGGAAAGCAGAGATATTCGAGGCACAAAAATCTCCTACCAACAATAAGGTAAATTAAGAACTCAAAAATGTATGTATATATATACACACTTGTCACATCGTAACATTTTTTCTCTCTCAAAATCTACTAGATGAAGCACGATATACTCTCGAGGTTCATTGAAATTAGCGACGATCCCGAAAGCAAAGAAACCGAGAAAAGCCTTAGAGATATTGTTCTTAACTTTGTAATAGCTGGAAGAGATACAACAGCAACAACTCTCACTTGGGCTATATACATGATCATGATGAATCAACATGTTGCTGAAAAACTTTGCTTAGAGCTACAAGAACTCGAAAGAGAAAGAGCACAAGAGACTAATACATCGTTGCATGATTACGATACAGAGGATTTCGATTCCTTCAACGAGAGAGTAACACAATTTGCAGGACTATTAAATTACGAGTCCTTAGGAAAACTTCACTACTTACATGCTGTGGTAACAGAAACACTTCGTCTCTACCCTGCAGTTCCTCAGGTACGCACGCGTAATCCATCGAGTTAAAGAACCGTTTTGGGAGAAATTTAAACGTTTTCAGAAAATATATTGTAGGATCCAAAAGGAGTATTAGAAGATGATATATTACCAAATGGAACAAAAGTAAAAGCAGGAGATATGGTTACATATGTACCTTACTCAATGGGTCGTATGGAATACAATTGGGGATCGGACGCATCATCGTTTAAACCCGAAAGATGGCTTAAAGACGGAATCTTTCAGAACGCATCACCATTCAAGTTCACAGCTTTTCAGGTATAATAAACAAGAACATACAAGATTTTGATGGATAATAACAAGAATGGTTTATTAACATGAAATATTATGAGTTTTTTGTGTGTGTATAATGCAGGCTGGACCAAGGATATGTTTGGGAAAAGATTCAGCTTATCTTCAAATGAAGATGGCAATGGCGATTCTTTGCAGATTCTATAAGTTTCATTTGGTGCCAAATCATCCTGTCAAGTATAGGATGATGACGATCTTATCTATGGCTCATGGTTTGAAAGTTACTGTATCAAGACGTCGTTCATAGACCAAGAACAAAAAATGTAGAACAATAAAAAAGAAATCAAATCCATGTGAAATGATCCAAAAAGATAATATAAAATCTCTTTCGAGAAGACCGTTTTATGATTTTTAATGAGTAGCTGCAACATGAGTTGTGCTTAGCTTACATAAACAGCAGAAACGCAATAGTAAGGTATATGCCAAAGACCTACGACATAGTATATCATATGATAATTACTCTTCTTCT